TAAAGTAACTACATTTTGCATCCATTCGTTTGTTGCTGACTTATTTCATTGGCATGATTGAGACACAGCTCCTATAGTTATATTGATACAGAAAGTAATAATAAGTCTTTATTGAAGGTGTATCCTAAAAATGGACATAGATCTAAGTACAATAAAGCATGGTATAGTTCCAGGAACTACTGTGTCACAAAGTGCTATCAGAGATCAGTAGGACACCATGAAATTACATGTCAAATGGTATTGGTGAGAATGCTACCTCTTATGACATTGACAACACTGAGGGACTTACTAGCGTCTACATTTACTAGTCTAGAGTTCTGTGAAGTCTATGCAGTACGCCGCCTCAAAACATCCACTATAACATGTGCCTTATTTTGACCATAGACACCATTTGACCATGCACTTCTAAAACAGCAAATAAGGTATCTACTAAATGAGTGTATGTTACAGTAGTATACTACCTTTACTATATATTTCTGAAAAATATTGATAATTGACTAAACAGATTGGTATTTGGTGAAAAAAAAATATGTAGTATTAGACATAATTGTGACTAAAACTTGGTTCACCCGTAGTGGAAGCCTAGCTGTGTAAATGTTTGATTCTACATTTATAAGCTGAAAAAATTAAATATTCCGATGAGAATGTGATTCAAGTGGAGTAAACTGTAGAAAGTAATCGTAGATTTGCTGCCACAATTTGATCGGTGGCTATTTTGTTTTAAAGGATGCAGTTCTGGGTTCATCTATCTGCCTGGATCATTCAAACTTCCCATGTACGGTACATCAGACATTATATCAGACATATGCATATGTTTCAGGATCCAAATCACGTTTGCCAAATGTATCAAAATCACACATTTTCAGCATTTTCACAGCTTCTTTCTGTCGTGCATGAATGAATTCTGTTTAAACTTGGTACATGCATTAAACATACTGGGACCTTAATGCACTTCATTTTGTTGTTTTCTCAGATTGGGTTAAAATGGCAGATTGGTGGCCATTTTGTTCTTCACATATAGATTAGACATCCTATCAGACACACATGCATTTTTATCACCATCAAATCCAAAATGGCTGACTGGTAGTTATCTTGTTTAATCAATCGCTGTTCGATGGAACCAAACATCTCATACAATCTTGGGCAAATCAACTTTAACTTCACACATACATCACACACAAGGACATGCATCTTGCACCGGACTTTCAATGACAATGACTTGTTTTTTTAATTGAGAATGTAGACACTCTAGTATTGTTACTCAAAATGTTTTCAATAAGTCTTACCTGTGAGAAGTTACCTCATTACAGTTGTACTATGGATTTTCAGAAATCATTGTGCATGCATATACTTAACTGTTTGAAATTGGAATGTTTTTGAACACAATACATTTCTGCTTTTCAATATACACAATTTTAGGGCCTGTATTTCTATTTAAAGTTTCCAAATTTCATCAATCATTATTTTGTAATAAAATAGCTTAAAAGATTTAATCTCTCTGTAAAAGCAGCAGCATTGTTACTTCAACTACTGACTGACTTTGAAAACCATCAATTTGGATAGCGCTCTCTATCAATATCTTGTGCTATTTATTTGCTTCAACAGTTGACAACAAATGTATTTAAATGAGAATATTTAAATTGATATGTTGACAAATTTAATTATTTATATTATAATTTGCAGCTTATAATTCTTTTGTAATATGACTTATTTACAGGAGGGTAAAGTGGCCATTACAAAAGTTGCCAATTTATTGTTGTGTATCTATGCTAAGCAGTCTGTTGGTTTTGGTATGTTGAAAGCAAAGGTAAGCAGCATTGTCATGTGCAGTGAAATATGGGAATTGTTATTGTATATATTGAATTCCATTCCTGATGATTACGTGTGTAAGTGAAACCAAGGCACATTGATTCTTTTTATTTGCATTTTATTTTGATAAAAGTATGCCCTCTATGGCAAAACATGGAAAACATAACATTTTGTAGCAGTGAACATCTCACTATTAAATCATCACACTGCGAAAATGGATAGCAGTGAAATCAGTAATAAATTTATTTTTCCTTAAATTGTATATTAGTTACTTACAACATATAACAGCACGTATTCCCATTATAGCATAGGTGTTTGAATATAATTTGCAAGGTATATGAAAATTGTATTGTATTGTTTTGTCCATGTCAATGGCATCCCAGACCAAACAAAAAAATACCAAATCATCTGAATGTTTTTTTGAAAATTTATATGGTGCATGTAATAATAATACTTTGAGCAAAGGTACTGTTGTGTTGAACTCATTTTGAAGCAATCGTACATCAGCCTGAATTGTACTTTTATGAAATACCTTGGCCATCATTAATCTAAAAGCTGTCAACCAGTTGCTTGGAATACTCGCCTCCATTTACCAATAGACAAATTTTGAGTCCCACTGTTAAGCTTGGAAACTGCTCTGGTGTAAAAACCTTTCACATAAACATTCAATTGCTCATCAGAAAGCCAGGAATTTAGGAACAAATTATGCAAGCTAGAAATTATCCCCCATTCATGCACTGTAACTTGAAAATTGATTCCCAACTTTCAGTGAATATTGGGTTCATTTCATATAAAGAGTGCACTATGGGGAAAGTGGGTGGGACGGACGAGGATTTTATGGGGGGGGGTCGTGGCTAAAAGCAAAAATCCTAAATCTGCATAAGGTAAAAGAATTGGGGAAAATGTGAATAACAAAATTATCATCAGGTACACATGAATAGTTTATTTGCCAAATTTCGAGTTGGTATTCAATATCCAAGTAACCAGTTTCTATTAAAACCCTTATTTTAGCCTCTACCTGTAATGTTGCCATTTCATAGCTAGGTAAACCCACCAACATGGTCAACACCCACTCCGGTTAGGTTTCTATACGTGATGCATTTACAGTTTCTTCTTTCTCATTCACAGGCAAAGGCACTAGCAGATTATTTGGAAGAACCACTCAAACAGGTTGCAGCATCATGACAATCGTAGACAGTCACCAAACATTCTGGTTTTAGAAATGGAACTTCCAATTTCTGTTCACCGGAGCCGGGTGGTCTACCAGTGTAAACCAAAAATTCACCCCTTATATTCGTTATTGCTTTAATAGAAACCACATTCCACTAGCAGCTACACTTCTAATACAGTTTTTCATTAGAAATATTTTTGGCAACAGGTCCATACTGAGTTTCATGCATATAAAAATTCATTAAAATTGGTCTGCATATCCATGGTACAGATTATTTTTTTAAATCTGTAGGGAAGAGATAAGAGTTCAAACAGGTTTTATTGTTACTGGTGACCACCATAAAGAATGGGATGGCAATATTGCAGTACAAGACACTGTTTTGCTAATATGCCTATTTTGTTACCAAAACTGTCTTGTAGTCGGAGTAAATACAGCTTGTAATACAAGAAGTATTACCTCAATTACAAAATTTCGTCATGTACATCTTTTTACTACTTTCTCCAACATTGTTTGTCTTGTAGTGGACGAACTATTCAATGTTGTAACGCAAACACAAACAATATTTTAGATACTTACTGTTACTATTAATTTGGGTTCTGTCTGGAGACAATATATGGTATCATACGTATGCACATCTATTTTGTCTGATTAGATTAATATTGGCTACATCCCAATTCTTCAAAGACTGGGTAGATAGATTTAAATCAAATTTAGTATACCGATAGCTACAGTATGTATGTTGTTTTTTGAAGTCTGATTCAAGATGGCCTATCAGCTTCCATTTTGTTTAAAGAATAAATTTACCCTCATATTTTTTTTAGGGAAACCAATGACAGAGTTGAATTGAAACATGTATCATTGTTGTCAATAAAATATTCAATCTTAAGGCCATTGGTTTAAAGAATTGAATTTGTGGCTCATCGTCGTAAAGCCCCAGCCTTTTTGCAGCATCTGATGGATCCTATAAATTCGATCCTATCTGGGAACAGCAGATTCTTGAGTGTTCCTCTAATGCACAGAAGAAACTAATCTACTAGAGGTCCACCCAAGGGTACCTACATAACAAATATCAAAGCAATTGAGCCGATAGTTTTCAACAAGTCAAAAATGCTTGCTAAAATAGAGGAACAAAAAGATTTGACTGTATGCTCTTATCAGCTTATTTAATTTTCATCAAATAGCTCTTCTCGCATGGAGCAAACTTGTACAGCCGACTGGAAATAATCCCCGTTAATTTATAATTTGGAACAATTGCAACATGTTAGCAATAACAGCATCATGTATAACAAGTCATTGTCAATGACACGTCCCCGTTCCGTTCATATTTGAGTGACATATACATTCAAAGCAGATCATGACCGAAATGCACCTGCATATGTACAACACATTATACTAAATCTGAACGAAATCCGTCCATGCATAACTGAGATCCGGAATGGTGAAAATGTGCGATTTCAATGCATTTTCGGCCTTAAAGCGGCCACCATTTGGCTATCGTTAATGAGATTATGAAACAAATGCACATACATATTTTTGACATGATGTACCTTGTGTGTGTGTGAAGTTTGAACTCTATCAATCCAAGCATGTCTCAGATATGGATCCAGAACTGAATTCTTTAAAACAAAATGGCCGCCAGTCGGCCATTTCAAACCCGATTCCCCCCAAAAAAATGACGTGCATCAAGGTCCTATTATGTTTAATGTATGTACCAAATGTGAACAAAATCTGTCCATGCATAACTGAGATCCGGTTCCGGAATGGTGAAAATGTGCGATTTTGATGCATTTTCGGCCTTAAATGGCCGCTATTCGGCTATCGTTAATCGGATCATGAAAAAAATGCATGTGCATATGTCCCATATAATGTGTGATGTACGAGTGAAGT